CCAGTTGTGAAGATTTCTGGGAAATGTAGTTTTTAGAGTTTCTGCTTCTGCAATAAATGACTCACAAGAAATGATTAACATGGAGGTTGTGCACAAATCCACCTTGATTTCTGAAGAACCACCAAATGACCTTAAAGAAACAGAAAAATAAATAAATTTAACATTTATATATATTGAGTTTAAAATACTTAAAATATAATTCATTATTTTTCCACATCCAAACTGTCTCTACATCCTGAATTTGTAATTTTTATTACAGCTACCATTACTCTATAAATTATGTAACTTGAGACATCATATATTTATTTATTGTCTGGATGAAAATATGATATATGCATATATATATATATAATTAGCATGAAACATTTATGAAATAAATAATACCCAACATTGCAAAAAATAGTTGTGAACATATAACTAGGAAAAACTTATCAGGAGCAATGTACAGTATTGAAAATTATAAGGTTAACCAAGATGCATTATATAAAGGTACAATTCCCAATGAGAAATGTAATTGTGTTGTATACCTACAATGTACCAATAAAAGAATTTAATACACAAAAAAAGAGAAAATTATAAGGTTAGCAAAGTTGGTCTCTGACACAACTACTAGTATCATTTTGATAGTAATGATTTCTTATTTTTTCTGACCCCAAAGACTTTGGGAAAACATTTTTTGACTCCCAATGGCTCACTCTGTCCACAATTCTCAGGCAAAGAGAGTAGAAAAATCCAGTGTTGAGTGCCTTAAAAATCCTTTGGATTGTGTTATTACAAATTGTACTTTACTTTTGAAAATACTGCTTTAGTCAACCCACAGCAATGAAAAGTTGACTTCTTATAGAGACTTGTGAGTAGATAAGCAAATTGATTCATAGCAGTCATTAGTGAATTATAAGTATTCTATGTATTGGTTAAAACTAAATCTCTATCTTTCTATTATGGGTTGTAAACATAAATGTATTCAAATCAAATTTCTGAAATCTATCACAATGAATTATCCATATAACAACAAATCACTAACAAATATTAAAATTAAAATTGGGCAGTTAAAATTGGTCAGTACTGGAGGAGGTTCGGAGGCTTGTATTCAGACTTGTTTATTGAATAATTTCTAATAAGTAGATAGTAAAGTAATTCAGAGAGCTCTAATTATTGTGCACTCAATGGCTCCAGTGGCATTAAGACACACATGACTCAAAAGACCACTGAGATTTTGGTTTCATATTAGTTAATCTTATACTGCATCCAAAGTCATTGAGTTACATTTGCATGTAACCTGATTTATAATAAACTCCTATGACACAGATGGTGCTGATGGCTGTAAATAGTTGGGCTTTCATGTATTTCTAATAGTTTAATAGCAAAATGATTGCTCTACAGTGCAATCAAAGAATTATATGTCAGGTCAGATATACCAAGAAAAAGGAAAAAGGAAATTTCTGTCACAGTGAAAGCTAATACTCTTCAAGATAGAATTATATTTTTGAGCTGGGTATTATTCACTAAATAAATAATGTTGTAATCTACTTTTCAGCAAAATCTATTTCAACACATTGTCCTTTTGGAAAACTCAGTTTCCTGTAGATACAGAATGTATACCAATAAATAATTTTTTGTAATGCATGAGCATAAGGTGCCTGAGTGGGGACCATTTCCTCAATTCACTTGATGTATTAAAAAGGCAGGGATGTGACAGAAAGCTTTGGCTACAGTAGGTGTAAGAATTTGTGAAGAATCACACAGATTATTCTGGGGAACTATGTAGCTCTTACGTACCTTTAATAATGATCAGGAAATGTATAAATAGCTTTATATTTTCTCTGCAGAATTATTTTTAAATTAGTATATATTTACAATAATAATGAATACATTCATCCTGGGGAGTTGGTACACACACATCCCACATCTTAATCCTTTTTACTTCCCCTTCCCCTTCCCTCTCTCCCTCCTTCCTCTAGTCTTCTTCCCTCTATTCCCATTTCCCTGTTTCCTATTATCTATCTTTTATTTGCCCTTTAAATTATTTATACTTTGGATTGCTCATATGATAGAAACAATGCTATATTTAAGCTTCTGTGTCTGATTTATTTCATTTTCATTTAACATTATGGTCTCAAGATGCATCCATTTTCCTACAAATGACTCAAATTTGTCCTTATTCATGGCTGAATAATATATATATATATAATATATTTGATAATTCTTTATCCATTCATCTGTTGATGGACATATAGGCTACTTCCAAGATTTAGCTACTACGAGTTGTGCTGCTATAAACACAAGTATGCATGTATCACTGTAACATGATGTCTTTCACTCTTTCAAGAAGATACCTAGAAGAGAAATAACTGGATAAGATGGAATTTCTGTATACCAATAATATACAGTGTGGGACACTGTAATGTTGATTACACCCAAAGCAGGCTGTAAGCAGTGCAGGCTGTAAAAGAGTTAACTCACAACTGCCTTGTTTATAGAAGTGAGTCCAGCCCAAGCCTATATGCCAAGGTCAGAGTAACTTGCACCCAAATTCCATTCCCACAATTAAAACTTTCTTAAGCAGAAGGAAAATGTTCTAATTACAACTATATATTTTGTCTATTCTGTTCCTAATTTGAGAATGCTTTGTCTTTTCCCTTTACCTCCATTAGTTTCCATAGAAGCTGTATGAATACACATCCTCCCCCACAGTCCCACCCTCACGCGCAGCTTGCTTTTACCCCAACTGATTACTAATAAAAATCAGTGGCTTGGATGGACCAGCGTTTTTTGCTAAAGCAGCATTGGCCGTGCTGGCCCCCACTTTCTGTCTCTCTTAGTTCTGTCTTCTAGTTTCTTTCTTCCTCCAGCTTGTGTCTTATATTAAGCAGGAGACTGGAGCCTACTGCAGAGGTTTCCAGTAATGTTTCAGGGGTTTCCAGTAATACAAAGGACAAATATTTTAATAAAAATGTGTTATAGGAATGCAGAAGATAAGGAGATGCAGAAGGCTTCAGGAAATCAGCAAATAAATAATAGTCAAGGATAGCTCCAACCTGGGTCTTGAAGGATGAATAGGCCATCACTGGATAAACAAGGCAAAAGAAGCAAACAAGCAGAGTACAGTGAGTGAAAAAAAGTGTGAGAAGATAGCAAAGATAATAGGTTTTGAGACTCCTAGACTAAGCAAAATTACCAGAGAAGAGGGTATCTTGATTTTAAAAGGCCCTATTATGAAAGACCTTGTGCACCATGATTGGACATATTGTCTCTAACATTTAGTGTTCAACGAAAAAATGAAAGAAGGAAGTCAAAAACTGAGAATCTATCAAAGGGTTTTTAAGCAAGGAATAACTTTATTAAGTTGCATTTTAAATGAGTCAGAGAAGAAAAATAGTGGAAACTAGGAAACTACTTTTGAGATGTCTGTAAGGATTTTCAATGATTTGGGGATTCCTGACAGGTTTAACTGGCTAATAACATTTAAGCAGATTTTTGTATTCAGTTGGTTTTTTGTGTGGGGAGAGGGACATAATTTGATGCTTGGTACACTGAGATTAAATTATACTTACAAATCAGCAAACCAAAGTAACTTACAGTGCCTGATGAATGGGTTTTTTCTTTTGGCTTACTTTTTAGAAAGGTACAAAAGATATAATTAAACAGATGATAATTTCACAAAAATATTCTTGTCTTTTTATATGCTGGTTTCATTCTTTTCTCTTTCTCATGAACATTATGATCACAAAGCCAGGGTCTGCTTTCCTCATATTCTATCCACTAATGATTCTCCTTCAGCCTTCTTCTTTCATTTCTCAGCCTTCTTTTCATTTCTCAGTTTTCATTCCTCTTCTCACTTCTTGTATTACATCAGCTTCGAAAAAGACGGATTAGGTTATTTATCAAATAAAGAAGCTTTCTTATGTCATTCAACTCACTTTCTTAGTACACTGAAACTAAAACCTAGTTATGATTTTGTTTTTTAAAAACCCAGTTCAGGGGATATAGCTCTGTGCTAGAGTGCTGCTTGTCTTAAACAAATCCAGATTGACTCATATTCTATTATTGGAAAATTTGGGTAATGAGAAAGCAAATCCAGACATATTACAAAGCTGAGGCAGTAATTTTGAATTTTCAACTCCCAATTTCTGTTTCATACTGTTTTCATTTTGATAATGAATCTGAACTAAGCTTTCTAGGTTACTGATAATCAGCCTGCACTGTTAAAACTGAATTATAGACAGTTTGACTCCCTGTAACTATAGCTGCTGATTCTTAGGACCCAAGAATCCACAGGGTCTCTCCATTAGGAAAGAAAGGTGAGACTGAAAATTTCTGTCTTGATTTGATTTGTGAGAATAGGCTGGTCTTTTGGGGCCCACGCTATCTAAAACTTAGAGTAGTTCTGATACTGAGGGTAAAGAAGGCAATAGTGAAATTCTCAGCACCTCAGCAGGAACAACCAGGCTTCCTTCTGATATTTCTCTCCCCTATTATGCCTTGCACTGGACTGGACCAAATGCAGTTTCTGAAAGACTACAGTACTTTACCCATAAAACTATTGAGTGTATTTTGATCCCAGTGTAGCTCTATGAATCTTACTAACCAACTGTGGGAACCCCATCTACAGGTCATATTATCAGTGATCCACAGGTCATAGCTCATGAGAGAACAAAATAAAAGTTTGAAATTTTACAGCGTTCTCTGACGGGTACTTTTGCCAAATACACGTTGTTATCCATGTACTAAAAATGCCTACTGGCAAAAAGTAAAAAATGTCCTGATCCCATAACTGATTTATATTTAGTGAGCCATTAGAATGAACATGAGGTAAGAAAAGCCATTTTGTTCTATTTTTAAATTTAAACAAAGCTTGGTCTTGAAATATTTAATCAACAGAATCAGTATTAATAAAAATATCCTATGAAGCAACTTTTACTGAAGTAGAATTTACTTGATTCATTTCTTCAGGAAATAAATACAGCCAACAATAAACAAAAAAGATAGAAAAGCCAAATGTGTCCTTGATGTCTCCCTGAAAGTTCATGATCTCTACACCTGTTTCTTTCATCCCCAGGTGATGTTAATCTTCTATTTATTTTGGCACTGTAAATCTAAGTTCATGTAGTTTACTCAGAGATTGCTCTCTAAATTTTGGTCTGTAGTTGTCCTTCACAAAAAGCAGAGGGGAAAAAATGTGTGATATGTGTGCATGTGTGTGTGTGTGCGTGTGTGTGTGTCCTGTTGGTGGTAGTGCTGGTGGTTATACAGCAAGTAGGGACTTCCTCTTTGAACAGTTGCCTTTGCCTCTCACACAAGTTTTCATTTTGTTTGAGACTGGATAGTTGAAACCAAACCACACACCAAGAAAGGGTATGATGGCGAAGAAGCCCCCAAAACCAGCCCCTCGCAGGATCTTCCAAGAAAGATTAAAGATGACTGCTCTACCTTTGTACTTTGAAGGCTTTTTATTAGTCAAGCGATCGGAATACCATGTAAGTCTATAAATGATAATATTAAATCTGAAACTTGGCCTTATAAAACTTACGATGATGTGATACAATGAAGCCTCTTTTTTGAATTATGCCCTCTTCCTTTCCTTGAGATCAGAAAAGACATTTAATTTTAATTTTGCATAATTTAAGTAAAACATATGGTTATACATGCATATATTTTTGCCTAATATATGTAATCTAACTTTCTAATATTAAGCCACTGATGTAAAAATTCAATTAGCTAAATTTCTGAAGAATTCATTTAATCATTACAGAAGATTTTGACTTAGAAGATAAAATATTTCTTATACTTTCTCCATAATTTACTACTATGCCTCCATGATGATGTGTATCACTAGGATAAAATACTATGATTAAAATTAAAACTACTCGGTTACATTAAAGTTTACAATGGTCATATTGTAAAACTGGTAAATTTCTGTTAAAGCTGTGAAAATTGTAAAATTGATACTGTTTAACATTATGTTTAGTTATACAGTGTAAAAACACTGCTCAAGATAGTGACTTTAAAAGATAATAGGGTGCTATTGTGGGTAGTAAGGACACTAAACTACAAAAATACATTTGTACTAGGAAAATTCACAGAGCACTTTATATTTTTAAAATGTAAAAATTAAAACCTATAGTTAATTGAAATCATTACCTTTAATATAGTAATTGTGAATAACTCAAAATTAATAAAAAATAAATGTGTCTGTTACTAAAGAAGTCATTAAATTAAGTCAAATATTATGAAATTTTAACATTGAAAATAGAAACATTTTTAAAGTTTTCAGAAATGCCATAATAACTGTTTAATGATGATAATAAAATGTTATTTCATGAGAATTTATTAATACTTTTGGAAAATCATGTATATGAAAATATATATAAGACATTCATATTTCCTACATATATAATCTGATCATTCACTTCTTGAGTCTAAAGCCATGGTAATTTGTATTGTTAGGGTTTTAAACAAGAATTAGTAATATTTGTCAGTCATACTGGAATTTATTTTGATTGATCTCATGTATCACCACAGGCTAGCTACATCGTTACCCATTGCCAGGAAAGGAAAACAGCAAAAAAGAAATTTCTAATTTGCAATTTCAATTTGGTTAATTTATTTAATATCTCAAAAATATTATAATAACTTTTCTGGTAGCAATTATTTTTTATATTTAAAGAAGACGTCATTGGTATGGTTAGCAGCAAGAGCAAGAAGTTTAGAGTGTCAATGAAACAGGTCTTTACCTAATGGTTTTGTTATTTATAGATTGTGATCTGGTACAAATTAATCTCCTTTAGACTCAGTTTCCTCAACCATAAAATAGAGAGAATGCACACTACTTGCCTTTAATAAAATGTATTATTATATACAATGTTTTATCTATTATGTCTGGGACAAGTATGTACTGGATTAATTTATTCATTCATATAACTTCTATTGTGTTTCTTTGATGCACCAAACATCACATTAATTTCTGAAAAATATGAATAAAACCCAAAGACCCTTACTTCAAGAAGGTTAGCTGAGTAATAGTGCTGACTTCTTATCTAATTGCTACTCTCTTCTTTATTTTAGAAAAACATACTTTGAGAATAAGTGAACTGTAGATACAAATATTTCTGGTGAGGGATGGGGATATAGATCAGTGGTATAATACTTGCCTAACATGTGTGAGGCTCTGGGTTTGATCCCCAGCACCAAAAATACACACACACACACACATACAAACACACACACACACACACACTATTTTTCTGATGAAATTAACTTATTTTTCCATTTGAATTCATAGCAAAGTATCTCTTCCTTGTATGGCCAGGAGAAGGAGAGTAAGAGGACAACAATAATGCCTAATTTCAAGCCTGGTTTCAAGAATTAAAGAGATAACATATGTAAAATATCTGGCTCACACTAAAGAATTTCTTCCCGTTTAATTATTTTATGATATTTCCATTAACATCCTAAAGCCAATTAACAGTCCACAAGTAAAATGGCTCAAAGAAGAGCAATGGTGACAGTGCTTGAAAATAAAAGCTATGAGAAAAAGCTAAGGAAAATGAGTGGGAATTCCACGCAACTACAAAGTACCAGGAAACCTTTTGGAGGAGGATGACCAAAGAGTGTTATAGCCAGGTCATCTTCTGACCTAGTAAGATAGAGATATTAAGAGGCTCTGAAAACTGTTAAGTGGATACTCTGCTGAGGGAATTTAGAACAGTGTAGCTGGTGAAAATAAAACTGAGGAGCAATGTGGCCTATAAAAGGATTACATGTTGAAAGGCCATTTTTAGAAGCTTTTGTGTTAGGACACTGGGACATTTTTAAGAATTTAAGGAGCTTTGCCCCAGGAAAATGCACCACCATACACTATTTTGTATACAGTTCCAGAAAGACTCTGGATCTCAATTAAGAATCCATGAAAAGTACTTAATCTTCATATAAAAGATAGTGTGGGAAGATTTAGTTAAACTGCAGCATTAGGATTCTGGGTCTACCAAGAAATCTTATTTGTCAATAAAAGGTATTAAATGTCACAATGGGATACTAATGGTGTCATATGTTTTTACAAATGGGAAAATTCTAATTTTTCTGGAACTGTATAACAACAGTAAGAGAATTTGGGCAATTCATAGTTCCTTCAAATTGTGATATACTAAGTGTATAATATGTCTTATTGGCTCAAACATAAGATTGTGATCATCATAATGATATTAAAATTACATTTCTCTGAATAGTCCTCTACTTTCCTCTGTATCACTTAGGAAAGTTTTAAGACTTTCTCACTTGTGCTATCAAACATAGTTCTCTATGCCAGAAGTCTGTGAATTTTTTAAATTTTAATTTTATTGGAAAAAAACCCAGAGAGCAATAATTTTATTGGTACAATTTAGATATGCATACTGACCACATTCATCATAGGGAATTTGATTCTGTAAATGATATATTATTGATTCCTCTTCGGCAAAAGAAAAAAATGAGAAAAGAAAAAAATGGAAATGAGGCTTTTGTAAATAGGGAGGGGAAAAAGGGTGTAAGGGTGGGGAGGGGAATGTGAATTTTTAAAATAACCACTTCAGAAAAAAAAAAAAGAAAAAAAAATAACACACTTCGGGCTGGGGATTTAGCTCAGTGGTTCTGGCACCTGCCTTGCAAGCACAAGGTCCTGAGTTTGATCCCTGGTACCAAAAAAATAAAATAAAATAAAATAATACACTTCTTTCAAAAAAACACTTTAACCACAGGTCTCTAATAATAATTTATTTAGAAATCATGTATAGATACTCCTGTACTAAAACTGCATGTAAATTATTAGATATATGCAAGAAATAAATTGAGATGAAAAAGATGGAATATAATTAGATATTCTGAAAGTTTTTTTCCCAATGGATCATACTGCACACCTTTGGATTTACGTATTTTGGAGAACCATTCTATATCTTTCCTTAGACAAATGCACTTTACTTGCTCCCAGAAAGAGAATGAGAGCATTTTGCTGCAGAAGGGGTTAGAAAGGAACTTACCCGAAAATTCCAGTTTTTCCCACTTACAATGAGTTGTATTTGAATCTATTTTCACTAATTCCATCACTGAGAAAAAAGTACCAGGAGTCAAGTGATAAACAGTCTAATTCTGGAATTTGGGCAATTCTTTTAACTTTTAATCCATTTCCCCCTTTATAAAAATGAGTTATTGCTTTCTTGAATATCTGAATGGATTTCTGTGATGACCAAATAGAGTGTGTAATAATGCGTACACCTTCTCTTGAGGTGTGACTTGTGGATATCCTGCGAGGACCTTAATGTCTTGTCACTGTGATCCTTAGAGTAACTGCACAGGCATTATGTTATCCATTTCACAGATGAGTTGTTGTGGCTCATGGAAGTTCAAGGCTCCTTATCAAACCCTAGCTTTGGCTAACTTGCAATGCACTTGACATTATGTTGCCTCTCAAGCTCAAGTTCTAATTCTATTTGATCATAGGCTTCCGGAGGTTAGAGGTGTGTATTGCTAGGTATTTTATTAAATGGAGGTCTAGAGTAAGCTCAGCAGACCTTCAAAATCATTTGTTTAATTGAATAAAAATGAGACAGTGAATTTAAACTCCAAGTAAAGGCCTCTAATGGTTATGAAGCCAGTTATAAACACTGATTTCGCATTTTAGTCCCTTTTTCTTCTATAATTTAATACAAATTATTATTTAAAAACAAGAAACTTTGAGCAAAATGTACTTTGTTCAAAGATGTATCCTTCAAAATTAATTTCTTAACTGTGTAAGCACCTCAAAAGATATGGATACCTAGACATTAGTGCTTGAGAATGATATTTATAGATGACTCAGGTTACATTGGTTTTCCTGAGGTCTTAGAAACAAAGTCAAGACTGCAGTCCAAAGGCCTCCAAGTACTAAATACAGGTATGTCTGCTTTAGGTCTGTGGCTGTGGCTGTAGTTTATGAGGCATGTTGCTATTTGTAAGCTTACTTTCCCTCCAGTCTTGCCTTTGCACTCAAGTCAGTGCCTTTATACTTGCCTTTTTCCCAATTTAATAAATTATTCTCAGCCCTTTCCATGAATCTCTGTTCGCTTACCTGTTATGCTCCCGTTTTCCCCTGATCAGCTCTACCCAGATCTGTTGTGACTGAACACCTCTGTATTTTTCTAAAGAGCACAGACAGACATCTACACATACATACAGAGAGAACCCAACAAACTTTAGGGGCTCTTAGCAGTGCACAGTTTTCTGTCTTACGGCAGGTTAAACAAACAAGGTCAGTTAAGACAAAAAACAGGGTGGTAGACTGACTTCACAGTTTTCTTTTGCTTTCCTTTCCTTCTAGAGTCCTTGGCATAGACCCATCTTAGAAGCCTTACTGTAGGAAAACTACACAACTGACTGTTAAATTCCCTAAACAATACACCTACATTCCCATTTCCTTCCACACACCCCTATATTCTAGTTCTAAAAGGTAGAATAGCCTTCTCCTTTC